GGCCTAGACCCTTCTTCAGAAGAAGGGTCTAGGCCCAAAACATCAGCTTTCCTGCTCCTCTGATGCTGCTTGGCCTGCTGTGTTCATCTAGCTCTGCACCTTGTTATCTCAGATTCTCCAGCATCTGCAGTTCCTACTATCTCTGTTCACTTTCTTAATTGTGTTGTCTGGAGATTCACTCTTGCTTGTTGTGATTTCCTTTATTACAGTTGGGGATTCTTTAAGTTTAACATTTTGTTTGACCTTGACCCTTCCGAGTCATCTCAACCCCTAATGGCTGAATTTAACTTTGAGTGTGCAGTTGTTTATCGTGATGTGTAGCAGTTTGTCTTGATTCACAATTTTTGATAGCAGTGGAAAACATTTCAACCAAACTGTTATAGGCACAGCTTTCCATCTCATTTAATGCATAAAACAAAGTGTTAATTTCAATGTAATTAACCTCGGGAGATTCTGCTTTTATTTAAGGGTCTGCCGTGACCTTATAGAAATATGCACCTTGATCTCTGTTATTTCACCTGTTCTGCCTTTTGAAATGAGATTGAGATCATTACAAGCGCCTCTTCTCAGGTTGTAAAATGCATGTAGGTTTTCTAGTGTGCGGTACTTCCAATGTTAAAGAGTTGTCTGCAACATACCTTTAATATTATGTGCATTTCCCAATATGGTTGAACTTCTGTCAGCTGTAAGCAGTATTTTGTCAAGCAAGGTTCACTATCTGATATCATTGCTCCCATGATCACCTCGAAATTTGTGAGAAGCCCATTGATATAAATGCCTGCATGCCAAAATGTTCAGTCTGCATCTCTGATTTTCCCTCGAGTTTATCTTCTACTGGAGACTGTTCTAGATAGCACTTCATGCCAAATTGCACAATGGGGATGCAGCTGTATTTGAGAAGGAGCAGAAAGTAGGAACATACTGAGGTTTGAATATTCCTGTGATCCTATTTTACTGGGCTCTGTCACATTCATTCACGCAGTGCAGAGCGCCATCTCATCCAGAAGGGCCAGGCAATACAGCATGTCTGTGCCCTTCCAATTTTGGCCATTTTCCCTATTATGGGCCATCTTGTGCTCCAGAAGAAAATCAAGATGTCAGTTATTTTTCGTAGGTGATTTGCCCGATTTGAATTGCTGGACATGTGTGGAAGCAGGGCAGCTTGGCAGCATGGGAAGATGTGTGAAAGAGAGCTGGGGTACTGAATGCTAGGCATGGGTGCTAGGGACTGCTTCTGGGTGAATGATGGGGACGTGAGAAAGTGTGAGAAATCGTCGTGCAGAGGGCAGGATTTGTCCTTTAACAATGCATTCACCATCTTGACTATCAACATGAGGTAATAAAACTTCAGTGAGCATGAGAAATAGGTGCTCTAAGAATCCTTCTCCCTGCCCATTTGTTCCTGTTCCTTTACAAGGTTGCTGTGAGCACCTTTTAGTCACTACCAGAAACATTGCTTCCCTTCTCCTTTAGATTTAGTCCACTAATACTCCAGCATTGCATTGAAAAACAAAGGAATCTTCTGCCTTGACTCTTGCTCTATTTTGAGTATTTCTCCTTGGAATCAATTTCTGAATGGACAGTCAGCATTAGCTTCTTTACACAGATTTCAGCTCCTCTTTTAAGAGGGACAGACTGCCTTTAAGAGGTACAGGCTTGTTGAAACACATTCTAACCCGACTCCAGCACCAAGCATTGAAATATCTCGCAGCATGACTCATGTTAAGCTTGACATTACAATCATTCAAATGAGGAGGCAGCATAAAACTGATCTGCTGCCTCAAAGGGACTGAACGTAGGCTAATCACAAATCATGACCCCTGCATCCAAAAACATTAGCAATTCCATTTTCCCTCCTACAGATCTTGTGATTAGTTTAAAAATAAAGGTTTGATGATACTCTGCAACTAGTGGGGGTTTTAAATATAATTTGCTTTACTCCGTTCTATATTTAGAAAGAAGAAAACTCAGAGAGAAAGTAAACTACATACTGCACCTTCAAAACCATATCACATATCATTCCAGAGTTTATTTCAAAACAGTTGACTTTTGTTATCTCAGACTCCAGCATCGGCATTTCCTACTATCTCTGAGTGACTTTTGTTTTCTGCTTCAAGTAAACTCAACATTGTTCATTCATCTATGAGCAAATTAAACTTCAGTCAACTAAAGTTTGTACTTCCAAAAATTTTCTGTGAAGAACAAATAAATCATAATCAGAATTTGTAAATGCTTTCAAGTATATCCAAGAAAATGATCACTAAATTTATCGATATTAAGGACAGCATAAGATATGGGAATAGCAGGGGAAAGATGGTGTTAAGCTAGAACATCAGCTATAATCTAAATGAATGGTGTATCAGGCTGAAGGGCTGAATGGCGTACACCTACTTCTTATGTTTAGGTGAGTCAGCAATTTTTTAAGATTAGAACAAATTTTGTAAATAATGTTTAAAGTTTTACTCTTGACCACTAATAGAAAGCAGTCATGAATGATCAAAACAAGCACCAGTGAGACTAAATTGACCACTCACCAGGCACGCCACCAACACTGAATCACTGTTATTCCGTTCTGAGGGGGATCGGCACAGCTCAATCAGACGAGGAATACCTACATATCAGATTAAACAAAAACCATGAGGTACGTTTCATGGGAACTGTGGAAATACTTGTAAAATACAAGAAGTTCAAAAATTTATATCTTTCTAATTCCCACATTTTCTGCAGATCTCACATCTATGTTTTTGAGCAAGTTTGTAAATATTGTAAAACAAATTTACTGTTATGAGCTAGACCAAACCCCCTCAAAAATATATCAAGGAGATAGCCTAGACCCTAACGTTTATCTTATTTAAAGCCAAATGTAAGACATTGTGTTCGAGATGTGATTTGATTGATAACACTATTTAAATCAAAACACACTTTATTTTTACATTAGAGTTAAAATACAAACAAACATAAGAATTTTAACTCTGTCTCAAGACTTAATAAAAGAATATATTATTTAGATACTATTCATCGACAGCTCCAATGTTGTAGCATCCCATAAACATACCCTCGGCAAAGGCAAATTCAGTAAAACAGAGTTCCCTCACTTGCAATCTCCTCCAGTCCAGGAGAAGGAAAAACTGAAAGACTAAATCTAGCAGCAGAGAAAGAATTCAAGGTTTTTGAAGCAGCAGAGAGAAAGCTGAGTTTAGCAGCTTCAACTCCAAAAACCCCAACTACAACAACTGAAAGCAAAACTAAAACCTGGGTCTATGACTCCACCCACTCATGCTTCTTCATCTAATTTAAGTAAAAAACTCAAAGCTATTTACTCTGCTTTCCATGGAAGCAGACACTTCAACACCAGGTTGACAACATCACTCTTCAAGAAAAACAGGACAAAACAAACCCCTCTTAAAGGCACATATTGTCACATTCAAATCCTTTATTTCCTTTCTTTGCCCCTTCTGTTTTCAAGGGGTTGACTCTTCTTTTATACAGTTCTACAGGGGTTGGAAAACCCATACTACTTTGCCCAAATGACCGTTTGTCAGGAGCTGGTACCCCAATTGAGAAAGTCCTCTGACTTGTCAAGAATACTTGGACAAGCGTTAGTGCACGATAAGCTCAGCTAGTTAATACAAATCAATTTTAGCCATATTCTCTCTGGCTCAGTGCAATGCTGAATGTACACTTATATAATCACGCATGTCAGGGTTGTTCTACTTTATCCTACCAAATGCACTTACAAGAATAACTAGCAAAGTATATTGATTACAAAAAGCACTATCCACTGAAGTTCAATACCAATAAGGGACCAACAAACAGAACAAATATATATTATATTTCAATGCATGTTGTTCTTACAGTTAAGGCTTGTGGCAATGTGGGTTATGTCTGGCTCTCTGCTTAGACGGGCAAGTGTAACAGCAGACTTTTGTAATACTCTTTCCAATGCTGCACCTTCTGCTGAAATCCCAGGCAAAGGTTTTTCATGGAGAAACTCCAGCAAAAGCTCTACACCTTAAAAAATAAACAACCACATGGTTTAAACATACTTTTGGTATTGTGGTTTAACTTTGGTCTACTTTTCATAAGAACTTAAATAATCTTGCTTTCCATGTCTTATAACCAAAACAGACATGGCATGATGTGGAACGAGTATACTAATAGAATCAGTATCATTTTGATGAGATGGTAAACTGAGCTTCCTCTCACTTAATATCATGGATACTATGAAAGGGGAACTATTACCCAAGGGTCCAAAGTTAATATTCCAACTATTTTCTTTTCAAGTAATCCCTTTACAAATTGCTGAGTGTGGTATCACAATTCCCATTCTGTGACACAGGTAATGCCATTGATCTGTACATCAAGGAACAAGCATTCAACTTACCATTAGCAATGTGTTGAGACTGAGGGCTGTAGGCAAGATCCACTGTAAGCTAATAACATTTTGTCATATATCAGAAAATACACGCAAGACAGAAGGATACAAAGGTGAGTTTCAGTGATCATCTAGCCATTTTTTAGCCTCATTCTTTTGAAGCCTATTGTACTTTTGTATTGACCTGTATTAAAAATGTAGTAATAAAGATAGAAAGATTTGTAATAATATTATGAGCACAGGATATCCCCAAACAGTACTACAGAGAACAAAAAACCAAAAGAACTACAGATGCTGGAAATCAGAAACAAAAACAGAAATTACTGAAAAATGTCATCAGTTCGGAAGAAGGGTCATGTGACCCAAAACATTAACTCTGATTTCTGATCACAGATGCTGTCAGTCCTGCTGACTTTTTTCCAGCAATTTCTGTTTGTGCTATGGAGAGAAAGACACTGGTGGTATCTAGGAAAATTTTACATTTTGTATGAGCAACCAACTAAAGCACAAATGGGTTCAAATTATACCGTGTGTTGCAGGCAACAACTGCATCAATTATATTTGTAACAATATCCTTCTTAATAACGTTGCAAACTTTTTGTTTGATTTTTATTGGACATTTCAATAGTTTTTTTTGGAAATACCATAAAGGGCAATTTTAACCATCCTGAAATTGATGTCTTATTCACATCCATATTCTTGGTACTGTTTTTTGTCCTGAATGTAATAAAGCTCAGATTTCAAGAAATCAAAACAAAACCACCCAGAGCCCTCTCCAGCTTGCCTAAGGCACAAATGGATATTATAATATTCACAGATGTAAACATGACTGATCTGTGGGTAAAGTAAGAAATTTGCAAAGAAGCTTTGGTAACCATTTTGCAAAAAAAAATAGCTGGGAGCGAACAGCAGTAACATTTTGAGAAATAGGAGGGACAAAAGAGGCATTGAGAAAAAGAAAAGAACTTAACAAAGGAAAGAAAGCTCCAAAAACCTGGCAAAGAATGTCAATCAGAATAACAAAGGAGTGAAAGGACAGGTTAATGTTTCAAGTATAGGTCCTCCTTTAGAGCTCTGTAAGGAAATAAGAAAAGTAGACGGAGGGAAAAAATAAGACTTGAGGAGCAGCAACAGAACAAAAAACAGGCAGGCTAATTAAGAATCAAATTAGGATCAGTGTTCAGCGTAACAACTGCAAGAAAGAAATTGTCCTTGATAGTAAGATGGTCCTGAAATCAATGCTATCTTGGGAGTAGAATAAATTTGAATGATATATGACCACAGATAATGATACATTTTAGTTTAATCTCGAACTGAAGAATGAAGGTGCATTGACAGCTAAGATTCAACATCTTTATATCAAAGCTAATTTAAGAAGACAACAGAGTCAGATAGTGTGGAAAAACTTGAGATTGAATTGAGATTTGAAATGAACAAATTGTAGTGATTGTAATGAGGTCAGCCAGGTGAGCCTCATAGAATATGGGTTCCCTGATTGGATCAGGTTAACAGCTCTGATTGGAGCTGTTAACCTGATCCAATCAGGGAGCCCTGGCTGAAAGGCCTTTTTGCTCCTATGATGCTGCTTGGCCTGCTGTGTTCATCCAGCTCTGTACCTTGTTGTCTCGGATTCTCCAGCATCTGCAGTTCCTACTATCTCTGGGTCAGAAGTTCTGTTCACTCTGAGAGTTGGCTCTGAGGAAGCTGGATCCATGTCAAGGAATTTCCACGTGTTAATAAAGGTGACTTGGTGACAGTATACTGGCCTCTGTGGAATTATTTCATAAATGGTATTGCTTTTTTGAGATTAAATAAATGCACAGCAGAAACGTTTTCAGTTTTTTACTTCCCTATGTTCTCACAATCTGACTAATTATAGAAGAATGCATTGATTTGAGTGAAACCAAGGGCCTTTTATGACCAGCTATGGAATTCAAGGGATGTGCAAACAATGAAAGGAGCCAAAAACAATACTGAAGGATCCTTTTGATTAAAAGAGGTTCTGAGGGTGATGGACCAGTGTTTTTGTCTTCAGTGCCATTTCTTTGTCAAGGCAGTGTTTGCACCAACAATTCTATTTCATTTTATTTTGTGAAGGAAAGAGAAAATTGAGCATAAAGAGGTTCTGGAACACAAACAACAGAAATTCAAAGAGATAACTGCTGCACTTGCAGTGATTGTAAGATGAGAACTAACAGTCACAACTGCTCAGAAAATATTATGAACAACATGGCTTTATGTGGAAAGGTCAGGCAAAACAAATTCATTGCACATAAGAAATGACTAGATGTCATGCATGCAAGTGAAACCAAGTGTATGCTGAGCCAAACCTAATCTGACAGACAACAGGCACTTTTGTCTAATAACATACGTTAAGACTCAATTTAATTCACTTTGTTTTATATTAGAAAAAAAACTTGAAATAATTGCATTTAGTTTTTATATGAATTTTATAATTTGATTTTTCAAATAAAGAAAGATTATTATTTTTTAATTCATAAGAACTTTGTCAGTTTTAATTACTTTTGATCAGAGGCTGTTAATTAATGGATTTTTCTGTCACATCTGTCAGTTAATTAATGTTTGAATCAAATTCATGAGCTTACTAACATATTGGTACCAATAAAGCTTATTTCTGTCCTTGGCTTTGGTGATGTTAATTGGCATTCTGCCACTATAAGGTCATTGCTGTTACTACCTCAGTGGCTAAATTTGGATAACAGTTTCTCTTTCTATAATGCAATTTGTTACCATTCATATAATCAACAGGTAGTATCTGTGACTGTTAAAATGTCATACCATTTACAATCATTTTCAATACAAATGTGGACTCATGCATTACATTGCATCAGCTCAAATATCTTCCATGTACAAGAAACTCTAGTTACATCAAGGCTACAATAAAGGCAAGGATATGAGTGATAAAGGAAAACCATTATCATTAAGGTGACATGTTAAAATAATAGATGCAGAGCTGATGCTAGCAAAGTGTTGTTATTTTAACATCATTATATCTGTCTGACAAAATACTTCAAATCAACAAGATGTAACCAGAAATTTGATTTTAGTGACTGGCCTTTTATTATCCAGTACCAGATGGTGAAAAAAACAGAAGTTGCTGGACAAGCTCAGCAATTCTAACAGCATCTGTGAAGAAAAGTCAGAGTTAACGTTCCGGGCCTGGTGACCTTTCCTCCGAACTGGTGGTAGCTAGGGAAATGTTGGTTTATTTGCAGATGATAGGGTGAGGGGAGGGCGTAAGGAGAAAATACTTGGGAGGGATGGAGCCTGAAGAGAGAGAAAAGCAATTGGACAAAACAAAGGAGTTGATAACAATTTGGCTAGGAGGGTGAATGGCTGGTAATGGGGACTGTTCAGTGACTAACAACAAGCAATGTGTAATGGCAGACTGTGATAACAAGGCCTGATGTGTGTGTGGGGTAGCGGGCTAGGACATGGGAGAGTTCAGGCCCTAAATTATTGAACTCGATATAGAGTTCAGAGGGCTGCAGAGTCCCCAAGCAGTAAATGAGGTGTTGTTCTTCCAGCTTGCGCTGAGCTTTGCTGGAACACTGCAGCAAGCCTGAGACAGAGATGTTGGATGGGAACAGGGAGGTGTGTTAAAGTGGCAGGCAACAGGTAGTTCAGGGTCTTTTTTGCAAGCAGAATGTAGATGTTCTGCGAAGCAGTCACCCAGTCTATGCTTTGTTTCCCCAGTGTAGAGGAGACCACATTGTGAGCAGCGAATACAGTAGACTAGATTGTGTGAAGTGCAGGTAAAGTGCTGCTTCACTTGGAAGGTATGTTTGGGCCTTTGGATACTAGAAAGGGGAGGAGGCAAATGGGCAGGTGTTATACTTTCGATGGTTGTAGGAGAAGGTGCTGTGGGGCTGTGGGGGGGGTGTTAGAGGTGAAGGAAAGGTGGAGGAAGGAAAGAAGGGTGTCCCGGAGGTAATGGTCCCTGCAGAAGGCGGACAAGGGAGGGGAGGGGAATATGTGTCTGATGGTGGCATCTTGCTGGAGGTAGCAGAAATGCCGTCTGATGATTTTCTGGACATAGATGCTGGTGGGATGGTAGGTAAGGACAAGGGAAATCCTATTGTTGTTGTGGGAGGGAAGAGAGGGGGTGAGGATGGAAGTGTGGGAGATGGGTTGGACCCGGATGAGAGTCCTGTCAACAATGGTGCTGGGAAATCCCCGGTTGAGGAAGAAGATGGACATTTTGGAAGGTCCCTTGTCGAAGTTGGCCTCATCGGAACATATGCAACAGAGACAGAGGAACTGGGAATGGAATAGTCTTTACAGGAAGCAGGATGCGAGGATGTATAGTCCAGGTAGCTGTGGGAGTTGGTGGGTTTATAGTGGATATTAGTGGCCAGTCTATCCCCATAAATAGAAACAGAGATGTTGAGGAAGGGAAGGGAGGAGTCAGAGATAGACCAGGTGAAAGTGAGGGCAGGGTGGAAACTGGAAACAAAACTGATTAATTTTTCCAATTCCAGCCGAGAGAGGGATACAGCATCGATGATACCATCGTTATTTCAGAGAACGAGTTGTGGGAGGGGGCCGGAGTAGGACTGGAACAAGGAATGTTCCACGTACCCCACAAAGAGACAGGCATAACTGGGGCCCATGCGGGTACCCATGGCCACCCCTCTGATCTGAAGAAAATGAGAGGAATTTAAAAGAGAAGTTTTTGAGGGTGAGGACGGGCTTGGCCAAGTGGAGGAAGGTGGTGGTGGGTGGGGACGTTTCAGGCCTTTGTTCCAGGGAGAAGCAGAGAGCCCTAAGACCCTCCTGTTGGAGGATGGACGTGTAAAGGGATTGCATGTCCAAGGTAAAGAAGAGGCGGCTGGAGCCTACAAACTGGAAATTCTGAAACTGGCATAAAGTGTCAGAAGAATCACAGATGTATGTGGGTGACAATTGGACCAGGGAAGAAAAGACTGAGTCAAGGTAGGAAGAAATGAGTTCTGTGGGCCAGGAGCAGACTGAAACAATAGGTCTGCCTGGCAGTTCTGTTTGTGGAGTTTTGGAAGGAGGTAGAAGTGAGCTGTGCGGGGCTGGGGGACTATCAGCTTGTGGGAAAGTGCATCTATTTCTTCAAGGAATGTATGGCCCTCACATACCAATGAGCGCAGTATCAGCAATTTGTAACAGAATGTAGGATTTGACTAATTATCCTGGTCACCTGCATCAATGCCAAAGTGGGACAATATCCTAGCATTGTGCTTCTGTACTCAAATATTTGGAATATAATTTAGCAATTGACTGCATTCAAAATTTTAAAACATTCATTAATCAATCCTGATGGACAATCAATTCTGTTTGATCATGCTAACAAAGACAATAAAGAAATCTTGCAAGTTCAGAGGTGGGGGAGCTATTGGATATCAAGTCTTTTATTTATTATCCCTTGTCAGGAAAATGAGATGTGATAGAAAGCCCTCATAGATATTGCAGCAATCAATGGCTGATTCTTCAATAGATTTTGGATCTACAGGCAATCACGCGATGTTGAAAAATATGATGTTGCCAGCTTCCAGAAGGGTGTAGATAAATGACAGAAAAGGAAGGATCCAAGCCTGGAATGAGTTGCAAAAGAATGGAGATCTTAAAAAAAATCCTTGCTCTTTCCATCATAAAAAGGTTGCTGAAGGATTGCATAGGACATCCCATCCATCCACTCACAGACAGATGCCCAATTTTCAGGCATCTGGTTATCAAATACATTCACATAATTGAATGGGCACCCACTGATCCCATGCAATACTGTTAGCCCTGCTCTGCTTGATCAGTACTGGGGGGCACCAGTTGGCACAATCTTGCTGAAAGTGTCAGCATTTTGGCTTCTATTTTTTTCAGGATAAACACCTTGTTTGTCACATGGATAGTTGTGGAGTTAATGAATCCGTGATTGGACAACAACAAAGGATTTTCAATCTGAACAAAATTAATTAGTAGAATATAGTATGGTACAAAAAGCGTTGGATATTGAATTAAAAAAGAAAGAACTTCTGATAAACCCTTCAGGTAAAGTTCAATTTATAACAGAGTATAATAGCTGTGTTGATAACTTTGGTGAAATGCCATTTAGGCATATCGGATAATGTTTACATGCGCATGATTTCATTGATTGTTAAAGATTTTGGAGGTTTTGAAGGCAATAATAGAAGAGTTACAAAATATTTAAAAACAAGATGTCCAGACAGGAAATAAAAGATTTGGATTATTGAATGTTGTTGTACTTGAGTTAGGGCAGAGTTGAAAGTGATATACTCAGGCTACTGTGTCAACTTATGATCTTGGTATATGCAATGATTTGGACTTAGGTATAAGGGGTATTGTGATACTGTAAACTTCGAAACTTTAAAAATTGTTCAGGGATTGTAAGAGTGAGCAATAACTTTTTCTTGTTTCCTGAGATGAACGGGACAAGGAGAAATTGTTATGTAGGAATTAAAGCAACGTGCCACTTAATTATCCCTGGGAAGAAGGAATTTCAACAAACTGTTTCCTGGGATAGAGAAGGTAACAATTGCTTGAAAACTTGCTGCCTCAGGACAGATCGGCAGTTAAGATTGCCTGCAGAAGGAATGTCCTGAGGTGAAGTGCTATTTGTAAGAAAGCATGTTTCAAACAGACAGTTAACACCAAATGTAACAAGGAGTAGGGAAGCTATACTTAATAAGGCTGCAAGCTTTCAACTTGATAACTCCAGAGGTGTAATTAATGTTGATGATAATGTTGATTAATTAATGAATGGTTAGAAAGGATCATCAATAATGTCACATCAGAAACTTCACAAGACAGAACGTCCTACAAGAATTCAACTTCAGGATGCTTCAATAGAAGAACACTGGAGAACCACACTGCACAAGGATTGAACCCTGGACATCCAGAGACAGATGCTGTTGGTTGGAATCAGAGCTAAATTCCAGCATTGATTGGGTAATCGTTAACTGGAGTTGTGTGGCTTAACTTTCTTACTTGAGGGATCTTACTGTGGTTGCTACATGCAATAAAAGTAAGTAATTGTTTCAATAGTCATCTGTGAGATTTCATTATAAGTAGCTGAATTAAAGGTAGCTGATGGTAATGTACACACAATGGTATGATATTAATATTTGTAATTGATTAGGAATTAGTCACTTGATTCAACAGGCATGTCTGACACGTCAAAAAATGAAAGTGCTTTCAAAATTTTGGGCTGCAGAATATTGCACGTTTCCATGAAATTCCTTTAACCATTTTAGTTTAACCTGCCTTTTAAGATAACAACTTAACAGTTCTTTTTACATTATACTTTATTATCTATTCATTGAAGTGCTATGTTGACTTTGACCAATTTCAATGCCAGCTAATTATCTAATGAACCCATTCAAGTCGGTTGTTCCAAGGACTTCACAGGTTTTTCTTCCTTCAAATTAAAATATTCTGCCTAACTGTCATTTTTGTTTCTAAGCATCAACTAATGATATATTTTGAAGAAAAATCTATATTATTCAAGAATTACTACTGTATTAAGATACATATGGTTAAAGTATTTAATTTATCATCTTATGAATTGTCCCCAAAATCTAATGTATAAATGTGCTTTGAACCTATAAATTACAAGTATACTTATGTCACACAATAAAATAGAAAACATGAAGCTTACCATTTTCTTGTATCATCTCAGAAGCACATTGGTCTAGTATAGCCATATTTGCCAGTATTGTCACTACCTGCATTGGGTACAGGAAAATAAACATCACATTGTGTGCCATTACAGTAATACCTGGCATTGCTTTAAACTTTCTTAGGCAGCAACCTACTCTTCAGTTTTCTTTCCCTTTTGCCCTAAGAGTAATGCTACCTGATGTCTTCACCATTATCCAACCCTCACCCAAATGGCAACATTTATTGGGATGCTTCAGTTATATGTGAGGATCCTATCATGCGAGCTGCTATTTTTCCCTATATTACAATAATCACTATATTTTACTGCGACAACTTGTGCTTTTTTAAACATATGTAATGTAATAAAAACATCCAAAGCCATGTCATAAAGACATTTTACCTAAGACTGTGCTATATCAGTCCATAAAAGGAGAAGATGATCTAGTGATATTATTGCCAGACTATTAATCCAGATGTAACTTTCTAAGGAACCAGATTCAAGTTCATTTACAAAGAAGGTACTCAGTTTATTTCCAAGAACCCCAGGACTGACAGCAGTGAAGCAATGTTCTTACCTTTTATTAATTTCCCTTTTTATATTAAAAAATGAATTAATAGGGCCATAGGAGAGATTACAGAATCATTTGCCCTTTTATTTTCTGTCTGCCATCTAAACCCTGAAGAAAATTGGGCACTTGAATAAAGAACTAAATGGCACATGGAGCAATTTGAATTCAAGAAAAACCAGGAATTCTGAGTATAATGATGACCATGAAGCTATTGTTAATTGTCTGAAAAACTCATCAGGTTCACTTATGATTTTTAAGGAACGTAATCTGCCATCTTTATCCAGTCTGTCCAACATGTGACTCCAGATCCACAGCAATGTGGTCGTCTCTTAACTGACTTCTGGGTAATTAGGGCAAAAAATATTGGCCTTTCCAGTGACACTTGCCTCCCATTAACGAACATTTTAAAAAAGGTCTTCCATTTGTCCACCACAGCTTCAGTAGAGGAGTCAGTAAAACCCCAGAAAAATGACAGAAATTTGCCTACATCATTATTAGAGATTAGACATCCATTTTGAAACTCATATTGAATGAGTAAAGGTTCAGTGTTTGTGTATATTACCACCCTACAATCAGTCACAACACAAAATCCAGAAGAAAAATTGCAAGGGTTGTTTTTAAAGAAAAAATAATGGCAGATCACTTACAAAGTAAGTACTCAATTTATTGCCAGGAAAGGAACCACAGAACTGACAGCATGAAGCAATTTCTTCCCTTTTAATAATTCCTTTCCTATATGAAAAAGGTGCCTCCCAGATCCTATAAACTGATGAGGTCATAGCAGAGATTATAGAATCACTTTCTCTTTTCTGTCTGCAATTTAAATCCTTAAGAAAACTGGGCAAATTTGAGTAAAGAATGAAATGGAAATTTGGGCTTCCAAAAATAAAGTCCTCTATGAGATAGTACCTGCAGAAGAGAAGGAAAAACAGCAAACCACTTTATAATATTCACTGTAAACGGTAGGAAAATGATTAGATGATGTTGATTTAAGAAAGGTTTCAAAACATCAATTTTATGTATTCTGATGCTGACTAAAACCATCACTTTATATCATTGTAAGTATCTGAATATACTTAATAAATAGTTGAATCAAAATATTTCTAATTGGCAGCACAAAAATATGATTCCTAGATTTATGGTTTAAATTTATGGATTAAAAATATAGAGTCAATAATAAATTACAAATTATTATAAATCTTCATCCCATCTATAGACATCTTCTTTTCTCTTTAATTGTGCACCCATAAGGAAACAGGTCTGCAGGTTATAACACCATTACAAGGTAATACATTGGAAAAATAAATTATTGCACTGGTGCTGATATTTGTACTTCAATGGGTTTGACACAGCATGAGTGGAATTTCTGGATAATCTCATAACAACCTCAATCTCAAATTTATTTGACTACCCTCGATTCCTCTGAGGTGATAATTGATCATCTTTTATGTCCAGTGACTCAACTCTCAGAAGGCTAAGTTTAGCTCATGACAATATCTACTTTTTTATTGTAGAGTTAATCCTAAATGTGGGCATTGTACAAGCTTTAGATTAGGATATATAAATCTTGAAATTCAATTAATTTGCACCAGTGTTTAAATTTACTTCTTTGGATACTGTAACAAAATAGATTGCAGTTTCTAAATTTTTGAAAAGTAGGAAGGAAATAAAGTAACTGCAGTGGGTCTATGAGGACTTTGTAGGAGTTGGATGTTTATCTCAATTGGTAATAACACTTTCTTAGATTTGGAAAGGTTTGGACTTAAACCTCAACTTGATCGCACGTTCCAGGCTGACTTGACAGTGTCATGCTAATGGTGCACTAGATTGTGGGAAGCCATTGAATATAATGGACACTGCTGAGGTCTTCTTGAAATCAGGCTGGTAGGATCTGGTGCAGGGGATGAGAAATCAGCTTGGATCCTCAACATAGTCAGCAAAAAAGCTGGCAGGTATCAACAGCAAACATTGCCACAGAGTGTGAACACTCTGGTTGGGCATAAAGTCCAATGCAGTGGGGGAAGGCCCTTCAAGTAACTATTAATTGGCAATTAAAAGCTTCAAATTGGCTTACAAGCTGGCACCAACACACCATCAAGGGTAAAATTTGAGCAGAGGTAGCATAGCAATTGACATGGCACTCCACAATAACATCCAAATGGTGTACCTAAGCCCTACCAAAAAACAGCTGCCTGCACAGAGATGTGGAAAAACCCAGCTCAAGTGTCAGCAAACTTTTTGACTTCCTCATAGTCAGGACCAACACTCACTTTATTTTTATTTAACCTATTTTTCTAATCAACATGTCCAGACATGATATTACACACCTCTGGAGTAGATGGGACTTGAAACTGAGTCTCTCCGTTCAGGCATTTAGGGACACTACCACTGCACTTCAAGAGGGCCATCAAGGCTTTCTTAATCTGAAAACATGCATATTTGTCTCCACTTTGTCATTACCGAGGTTAATTTCGGAGCTCTAGCTTCGGCTCACTAATTCAACACGGATTAGGTAAACATGTCTCACTAACCGGTCCTGGCTTTAACCAATAGCTATTTTCTAAATGATTGCAGCTCACTTGGCATTCACCCTTCTTTTTCAAATCTGACACCATTCTACCTGTCCAGAAAAGACAATCTCATCAAGTGTAACCTTATAGGGGTCTGAGTAATATGGGCTATGGTGAGATTTGTAGAAATATATCAAAATTCCAGAAGTGCCTGTTTTGATGTTGAGAGCATCTCACTCCAGTTTTTATGCTGTGTATAAGTGGCAAAGTGGGTTTCTCACAAGGCAGTAGTGAGTTGTCAGTTAAATGGGTTAACTGTTTGTTAAACATTTTATAAACAGCTTGACTCAGCTCATTAATATTCAGCTATCTGTGTCACTAAACATGCCCAAAAAGTTAGGCGTCAAGGAAACTCAAGAAGTAAACAGAGCAAGTACCTTGGCAGATTCAGCTCACTGCTTGCTCTGAAGGATCTCATGTTGCATCAAGGAGGGTGCAAGACAGGCCTGCAGAGGCAGTGGGGAGATCACTGCCTATGGGGGTCAAAGTGTCAATGCTGGATGGGAAAGAAGACATACTTGTAAAAGTGGAGACAGGGGCAGTGACAGAGGAAACTCAAGATAAAAGGGGCAGGCAGGAGTGGGTATTTGGAACAGCATGGGTCTGGGAGGAGAGAGTTAGTAGCATTGACCACTACTGTAGCTGCCACAGGGGAAGCATAAAGAAGCAGGGTGGGGATCATTAAGGTGTAATATTGACTTTCAAGAGGCAGGGAGGACAGTTGGAAATGAAGTTCAGTGCGGTGGGCCTCCATGTAGGATGGGGGATGGGGGATGGGGGATGTGGGGAGGAATGGGTGGAAATAGGCTGTTGGATGTTACAGAGTCATAGAGTCATGCAGCATGAAAAAAGACCCTTTTGTCCAATTAGTCCATGCCAAATATAATCCCAAACTAAACTAGTCCCACCTACCTGCTACTGGCCCATGTCCCTCCAAACCCCCTCCTGTTCATATATCCACCCAAATGTCTTTTAAATGTTGTAATCATACCTGTATCCACCATTTCATCAGGAAATTAATTCAACACGCAAACCATCGTCTGTGTAAAAAATCTGCCTCATGTCTTTTTTAAAATCTCTCTCATGTCCCCTTATAAATGTGCCTCCTAGTCTTGACATTCTCCATTTTAGGGAAAAGAATCACCATCAAAAAGGTGGACTCAGGTGGACCAGGGCCGATGCCAAGCCCAGGATCAGCAGCAGGCCAGTGTGGAGAATAGGGAGCACCCAGCTCAGGACAAGGTCATTGCAGCAGGGCCCCTCAGGATGCGTGGGGTTTGCAGGAGGCCCAGAGTCTTTCAATACTGACACCATTTCCTGGAAATAAGTGAGGTGCAGTGTCAATGCAAGCTCCATATGTCCAGGGACACTGTGATGGATGCTGAAGCGGGATCTGAGGGCTGCAGGAGTGGGATACCAGCCTCTCCCGATGGCTGTAAAGGTGAAAGCCACCCTAAACATCTATGTGACTGCTCCTTTCAGGTACTGATGGGTGACCTGTGTGGGATCTCTCAGCCATGCATCCACAAATACATCAGGACAGTGACTGATGCCATCTGTACAGCATCACACTGGTTCATTGTGTTTCCCCATGATGAGATCAGTGTTGCAGCCCAGGCATTGGGATTCAGAAACATAGCTGGCATCCCCCAGGTGCAGGGTGTCATCGAATGTATGTACCCGTCATGGCTAGGGCCCTGTCACACACTGTGGAATTCATCAACAGGAAGGGGTTCCATTTGTTTAATGTTCATGTGATCTGTGATCATCGTTACCACTTCCTGGAGGTGCCACTACCCCGGCAGCTGCCATGACTGCTACATTCTGGAATACTCTCATGTATCTGGTTTGAGGGCCCAGGAGCCTTACAAGGCTGGTTACTGGGGACAAGATCTACCTAATGTGACCATGGCTGGTGACACAATTGTACAACACACTGACTGAGGTGGAGCAGAGGTTTAATGGTGCCCATGTTTCAGTCAGGGTCACTGTGGAGCAGGCAAAGGGCTGTTGATGCTTGAACCCATTCTGGGGGTCTCCAGGATAGTTCTGGATAGAGTGTTCCTCATCATCCTGGCAAGTGGACGTGAGGGATGCCATGCGGCAGGGTAGGTAGTTAATGAGGCACATTTGGTAACATACAGTAGTTTGATAAGATATTCAGGTTTAGCCTAAAATGTAAGATTCAGCTCATCGTTTTCTGACCTTGCTAATCAAGCTCCACCTCTATCTTTTCCTTTCCTATGTAAAGATATTGAAAGAGTTGTGGCCTACTAGATTCATGTCCAAAGTTCCCATAGCTCTCCACTGAATCTAGCAGTGAGTACGAGCCGGTGGTGCGAGTTGGAGCAGGCGGGATAAGGCAACCTGAGGCAGCTGAGAGTGAGTGCAGGAACAGGCAGGCCGAGGCGGTGACAGAAGGGCCACATCCCCAGGGCAACGGAGAGGTCAAGTCCCAGAACGATGGAGGGGCCGAGGGACATTCTCTGCGGCATGGAGTGGCTGGGAGGCCTGGAGCAGGACTCTGGCTGCAGCAAGCTGTAGCAATGGAGAAGGAAAGTTTGGACTGTCTGTAAGTTATTTGTTTTTTACTACTTTATTCTAGGTTAATGAGAATGGTGCTTATGCACTGTGATGGTACACACTTTTCACTGTATTTTATATTGAATACACGAGACAGTAAAGGGTATTCAATTCAATTGAGATGGATTGCAGGAATTCAAGATGGCAGCTCACCACCAACTCTCAAAGTCCTGGACTTGCCAATTACACTCAAATCCCATGACAGTATAAACGAATGCTTTCAATTAAGTGTGTACTCCTCCTACAACACCAAAAAAGACACAAAATGACATTATCTGGGCTATGAAAATGTTTCTTTATTCCTTATTGCAGCCTTCAATATGACCACCATATCATTTTGTCCCAAAGTTTTCTGAAATTGTCTGACTAGGTGTGGCTGACCTTGTTTGTTTCCATTCTTATTAATTGAAGCATAGTCTAAACATCTCAAGCAATGGCTCCTTATTATCTCCATGTTTCTTCAAGGATCCATTCCTGGCACTTCCTCAACTAAAGGTTGGTGACAGACACTAATTCACATATACATTTGACTTAAAAACTTCCACCTCTCCCACAACCTTTTATGGCTACCAGTCACATTTCTCATCTTTAGTCCATGCAGCTTTAATTTGAATCCTGTATCTGTCAGATGACAATGCAACACGTTTAAATGAACACAGATAGTTATGTATTATATTAAAATCCGGAATAAAATTTTGATTATAATATCATTTTTGCACATAATTTTTACAAAAACTGTCCTCCTCAGTTATGTTAACAAATAATATAATTCAGTGCATCTGGCTTCAAAATGATGTTACTTTCTAGTCAGTTTTATAAAATCATAAATCAGAACTATCTCAAGGGTCTTGCTTTGCAGTTGCTAGCTAAATCAATTAATCTGCATTGAATGCCTCAATAAACTAATTCTTGCTTATTTCACCAATATGAAATCGGCATCTCACAAAAATCATTCAGCCTTATTTATAGTGACTGATTTTAAATGTCTGACCTTTCAAGGGAAAAGCAGCCTGCAGTAGTAAAAACAAAACCATTTAACAGTATTGTGGACACATAAACTTTCCATATGCGAGTACTTGAAAAACTCTAACTTTGTTAATTCTGGTGCAAATGTTATTCAACCACATTTACTACATGCAACTGATTCACCTCTAAAAAAAATGCAATTTACAGATTATATACTCGGAGATTCAAAAAGCTAAAACAAGATGTTTAATTTTATAATGAAACAGTTCAGTTTTTCAAAGAAAGATCAGTTACATCTGCTGCATTTGGCGATCAGATCAAGATGATGGTGTTAATGTGTCTGCTTTCCCAGCAAGGCAGATACATTTTGTTTTCATTATCAAAGTCACTAACTTTATGTTGCTAATCAACAGGAAGCTCTTTGGCAGCATTTTCAACATTGAAAATACCCCAAGGTGCTTCACAGAGGCAATGGGAAAACAATTGCTTTTTCATCACAGATGCTGCGAGACCTACTGAGCTTTTCCAGCAACTTCTGTTTTTGTTCCTGATTTACAGCATCCACAGTCCTTTCAGTTTTTATATAGAGGAGAGAGATTTGTCCAACTAGATTTGCCAAAGGTCAGTGGTGCCTCAAGTTCTACCTGCAGAATGCAATTTTACTGAAAATTGGTTTTCCTGAGAAGTGTAAGGGAATCTCCTGATTGTTTTTTAAGATCACAACAAGTCCCAGTTGAACACATTTAATTCTTATGTAAGAAGTACTTGCTCCTTTGATTTTCTCTTCCTCTTTGTGAGTTAGTACGGCCAATATTTGGCAAGGCAGGATTCCCTGGTTTTCCTGTGCTCTTTCCAGAGGGTTGTTGCTTGTGCAAGTGCTCCAGCTTCGCAGCAGGCTGTCACTCCTGCAACTTGCCACTCAGTCTGTTCTGTTTTCTTTTAAAGTACTTTGAATGGCATGGTAAGTATGACTCGCACTTCATTAACAATTTCACATTCCCACAGGGGTGGTTACGCTGGCACGCAAATTAAAATGGCAACTTTTTCATGGCACAGAAGAAAATACAAGCCAACTGAAATAAAAATAATAGATTTTTTAAAAAGTTGAAATCATAGAATCTCTGCAGTGTGGAAGCAGGCCATTCGAGTCCTACACTGGCCCTCCAAAAAATATCCCACCCAAACCCACCCCTGTAACCCTGAATTTCCCATGGTTAAACCATCTAGCCTGCACAATCTTGGATACTACGGGGCAATTTAGCATGGCCAATCCATGTAACCTGCACGTCTTTGGACTGTGGGAGGAAACCAGACTGAACCCATGCAGACACAGGGAGAACGTGCAAATTCATCAGTCACCCAAGGGTGAGATTGAACCTGGGTCCTTGGCTCTGTGAGGCAACAGTGCTAATCGCTGAGTCACCGTTATTAAAATGGAAGGAAGTAGTACAAATGTGTTTGTGTAAATGTATGTATTTTGTCAAAATGAGGTTAGGTAAACCATTTACAATTTACTTTCTTCTTTTTACAATGGTTGTTTTATTGGTTTTAACATTTGATGAGCGCCCAAAACAGAAGCCTCTACAACCACAACTTTAAATTGCAGAAACGAATTGAATTAATTTTCAGAAGTATATTTTCATGTGCACTTTGTCAGCTCGCATTCTACGTATAGCTTCTTAATGAGAATAACGCTTCAAATACATTCTGCTATGTACAATATGACTAATGTTTTATCTAAATGCACTAACTTGATCTTTAGAGTAAGGAGTGTCAACTCTCTGTGGGTCACGACAGGCTTCGATAAGGATCTTTGTTGCATTTAGCTGCAACAAAATCTCACAGGCCATTGAATCAAAGAATGTGATGTTGGCAAGAGCAGCTGAAGCCAGCAGGAACACTTCACCCGATGAGGCATCTTTGCATAAATCTATGAGAAAAGAATAAATGTTTTATATAATTACAGAGATTTCAGTGAAAGTAAATAGACCTTTTCAATTTCTTATTTATCAAATTTCAAAAGAAAATAGTTATGCATAGTTATTATATAACATCCAATCTTTGACATTACCTTTGAGCTAAATAGCAAATCTGACATGGAAATGTATCAATTTATACTTTCAAAAGCCTCTCAAGTTTTGTATTTTAAAATAATTAAAAGACTCATGTAGTACAGTTAGTTTAATATATAATGTAGATTAATTTTGATTATGTTATTCACATTTTATCTTCCTCAGTAGTGAGATTTCTTGTTAAGTAGATGCTTTGGAAATAGGATTTAGCACTGTGCAGTTGGTAAGAAAATCATCTGGGGATTTATGCAATCACTAAGCTAGCTATAAGTTATTTTTAAAATTCTTCCAGGACAAGTGATAATCCCAACAGAGAAAGATGTGGTTGTATGACAGCTGGGGGTTTATTAGTACAGTAAATTACTGTAAAATGTGGGATTAATGCATACTAATTTAAAATACTAATTGAAAATATTTTGTATTCTATTATTTCCCTTCCTAAACTGGCCAGTTTGTCTTATATAAGAGCAACTCTTTGACAAATAATGCCATCTGCAGGAATAGGAGAAGTTTTACTACATTCAACAATTCTGCTGCTGCAGTGCTTTTTCTGTATGAGGACGGAGGTATCCATTGTTAAAAGTTGCAAGACTTCTTTGTGGAAATGTTTATGGCAGTCTCACTCCATTCCCTCATGGGCTTTGAAACAACAACATAAAATTGAACGTAATTTTGCATTAGAGATGGCAAGAATTGCAGATGCTGGAGTCAGAGATAACACAGTGTGGAGCTGGAGGAACACGGCAGGTCAGGCAGCATCAGAGGAGCAGGAAAGTTAACATTTCGGGTTGGGATCCTTCTTCAAAAATGAGGAGGGGGAAGGGAGCTGGAAAATAAATAGAGAGAGGAGGGGTGGGGCTGGGTAAGGATGGTGATAGGTGAATGCAGGTAGGGTGTGGTTGGGATTAGTCAGTGGGATGGGTGGGGTGGACGGGTGGTAGAGAAGATAGACAGGTTGTGACAAGTTAAGGAGGCAGGGATGAGAGGGAGGGTTGGACATGTGATGAGGCGGTGGGTGGGGAGATTTTGAAACTAGTGAATTCCACGTTTAGGCCATTGGGCTGCAGGCTCCCAAGGCGGAATATGAGGTGTTGTTCCTCCAGTTTGCAGGTGGTATCATTGTGACACTGGAGGAGGCCCAGGATGGGCATGTCACCCAGGGAGTGAGAGGGGGAGTTAAAATGGTTGGCGACTGGAAGGTGTTGTCGTTTGTCGCGCACGGACCGCAGATGGTCTACAAAACGGTCTCCGAGTCTATGCTTAGTCTCACCGATGTAGAGGAGGCCACATCGGGAGCAGCGGATGCAGTAGACCACGTTTATAGATGTGCAGTTGAACCCCTGTCTGATGTGGAAGGTTTGTTTGGTGCCTTGAATGGAGGTGAGGAGGGGAGGTGTAGGGGCAGGGGTAGCACTTCCTGCGTTTGCAGGGTAAGGTGCCAGGGATGGAGGGGTTAGTCGAGAGTGTGGAGCAGATGACAGAGTTGCGGAGTGACCAGTCCCCGAAACGCAGATATGGGTGGGGAGGGAAATATCTCTTTGGTCGTGGGATCAGATTGTAGGTAGTGGAAATGGCAGAGAATGATATGCGGGATGCGGAGGTTGGTGGGGTGATATGTGAGAACAAGGGGGATTCTGTGTTTATTTTTGTTGGGGGGAGGGGTTTTGAGGGCAGAAGTGTGGGAAATGTAAGAGATGCGGTTGAGGACATTTTTGATCACCAGACAGGGGAAGTTGTGGTCCCTGAAATAGGAGGACATCTGGGATGGCCAGGAGTGAAACGGTCTATCTTGGGAGCAGATACGGTGGAGGTGGAGGAATTGGGAGAAGGCGATCGCGTTCTTGCAGGAAAGTGGGTGAGAGGAGATCTAGTCTAGGTAGCCGTGGGAGTCGATGGGAGTTCTGAGGAAGGGTCACCGGACCCGAAACATTAACTCTGTTTTTTGCCTTCACAGATGCTGCCAGACCTGCTGAGCTTTTCCAGCAATTTTGTTTCTGTTCCTGATTCACAGCATCCACAGTTTTTTCGGTTTTTGTTTGGCTTGAAATAGATGTCAGTTTCAAGGCGGTTACCAGAGATGGAGACAGAGAGGTCCAGCACGGAGAGGGAGATATCGGAGATGGTCCAGGTAAATTTGAGGTTGGGGTGAAAGATGTTGTAAAGTTGATGCACTGTTCAAGCTCCTTGTAGAAGCATGAGGCAGCGCCGATATAGTCATCGATGTAGCGGAGGAAGAGGTGGGGGATAGTGCCAGTGTAACAGTGTATCCTACAAGGAGACAGGCATAGCTTGGGCCCATGCGGGTGCCCATAGCCACCCCTTTAGTCTGTGGGAAGTGGGAGGAGTTAAGGTAGAAGTTGTTCAGGGAAAGGACAAGTTCTGTTAGTGGATGAGGGTGTCCGTGGAGGGGGTCTGGTTGGGCCTGCGGGAGAGGAAGAAGCTGAGGTCTTTTAGGCCATCCACGTGGGGGATACAAGTGTACAGGGATTGGATGTCCATCATGAAGATGAGATGTTGGGGGCCAGAGAATTGGAAGTCTTGGAGGAAGTGGAAGGCATGGGTGGTGTTCCGGACATAGGTGGGGAATTCCTGGACCAGGGGGAAAAGACAGAGTCAAGGTAGGTGGAGATGAGTTCAGTGGGGCAGAAGCAGGCAGAGACAATGTGTCAGCTGTGTGCAGAGTTGGGAAACAATGAGGTTGGAGGTTGTGGTGGGAAGTGACCTGATGTGATGAGGTTATGAATGGCCTGAGAGACGATGGTTTGGTGGTGAGGGGTGGGTTAATGATCGAGGGGGCGGTAGGATGTGTCGGAGAATTGGCACCTGGCCTCGGGGGTATAAAGGTCAGTGTGCCATAACACTACTGCGCCTCCCCTGTCCGTGGGTTTGATGGTGAGGTTGGGGTGGGAGCGGAGGGCTGCACGTTCTGTGGGTGAGAGGTTGGAGTGAGTGAGAGGGGTGGAGAGGTGAGGCAATCGATGTCTTGACGGTAGTTGGAAATGAAGAGGCTAAGGGAGGGTAGGACGCCATGGGGTGGTGTCCAGGAGGAGGGGGTGTGTTGGAGACGGGAGAAGGGGTCTGTAGATGGTGGGTTAGACTCACAGTTAAGAAATAGGCGTGGAGGTGAAGGCAGTGGAAAAAGAGATCGACATCCAAACATGAACGGAATTCATTGACGTGTGGGCGTAGGGGAATGAAGGTGATCCTTTGCTGAGGACTGACTGTTGTCCTCAGTGAGGGGGAGGTCTGGGGGAGGATGGTGAAGACCTGGCAGGGTTTGGGGCCAGAACTAGGTGTAGAGCTAGAGCTGGGTGTGCGGTTGGAGACTGTCTCAGGAGCGGAAGTGATGCCATTGGTGTCGGCAGCAGAAGTGGCATCAGTGGTGGTGGAAGTGGTGGCAGCAGAAGAGACGTGAATGGTGTTGGTGGAAGTGATGATGTTGGTAGCGTTAGCGGGAGAGGCCAAGATAACCGCATGGTCAACGGCACCGGGCACATTGAGAGGGAGGCCCTGGAATGGGTTGAGGACTGGGGTGGTGGAAGAGACCTGTGTTTGGTGGTAAGCAGAGGTAAGTTTAGTGGACTTATGGTTTTTGATGTCAGACAGCATAGAGAAAAAGTGTTGGTTGAGGTTGTCGATCCTGCACAGAATGTAAAACAGAAGAGGTCCTTTGCAGGTCTGTGAGATGGAGGGTCTGAGCTGGAGTAAGGTAGATTGTAGTGCCAGAAGATGCCACCGCATTGCTAACAGCACTCCCTCGGTAACATTGTCAATCCAAGGCTTCCTCCAGTGCCACAAGACACCACATGCAAACTGGAGGAGCAAAACTTCATCTTCCACCTCAGGGGACTACAGCCTGATGGCCTAAAACATGGAATTCACCAGTTTCAAAATCTCCCAGCCCCTGGCCTCGTCCCATGTCTAACTCTCCATCTCATCCCCACCTCCTTGGCCTGACACATCCTGTCTATCTTCTCTCCCATCTATCCACCCCACCCATCTCACTAACCAATCCCACCACTCCCTACCTACTTTCAACTATCACCACCACACCATCTACCTTCCCCAGCCCAACCCCTCCTGTCTCAATTTATTTCCCAGCTTCCTTCCCCCCTCCCCATTTCTGAAGAGGGGTCCCGACCCGAAACGTCAACTTTCCTGCTCCTCTGATGCTGCCTGGCCTGCTGTGTTCCTCAGCTCCCCGCATAATTTTGCATTACTTGGTTCTAAGCTGGCTGTCTCAAAGATAGGTATAGTAAATGAAAACATATCACACTGGTACAGTGAGGTCTCTTACAGCAAGGGTGGCGTGGAGGCATTTTGCTGGAGCAAAGAAATTAAAGCTTTGCTGTGGATCTAATACATCATGTGGGAATATATGTGCTGCATATTTTGACATTCCCAGGCTGGTTTCTCAGGGTGGGGTTAGGGAGTGGGAGTGGGAGAGGCTAGGATAGCAAGGGGGTAAGGAGAACTATAAAAATTGGTGCCGTATGCTATGGTGCGATACTGAAGTGCTCAGTCTGGTGACATGTCAGTAGGGATGGGGTCCCTCTTTTCTAAGATCCTTGTGCCCCTTTATAAGTACCCTGTGCCTATTGGAGGCCCCCACCCCAAGGTATTCCCACACCCACATCTCCCTTCCGCCCTATCTTGTTTGCTGAGGTCACTCGTCCCTTTTCACTGCCATGTTTCCTCCTCTAACTTCCCCCTGCCCCACACCCTGCTGCAGATTCCATTGTCAGCTGGACCCAGGAGATATCTTGACCCTACCCATCTACTGTCACACCCACTGATAATCACTGTTAGGGACAGGGTGTAGTCAAAACCATGGGCTTTAGCCTCAGCGGCACTGCTG